GAAACCACATGAGACCCAATAACAAGCCACGTTTTGGACAATCTCAACGGTTGAGCTCGCGAAGCGGCTAATCGATCAAGATGATTGCCTCTCCATCACCGTCTTGTGTATGGAGCCATCTTCTTGTGGTATTGACCATGATGTTGAATCGCTTGTTGCCTCCACCCCTAGCATTTGTTTCATTGCTCTACCTCAGGTCGACCCGCCATTGCCAAAAGTTTATAAGTTTTGAAAGGTTCGCATCTCTCTTCATTGAAAGTCACAACCACACGATAGGCATGCTCTCACCCAACTTATGTTGTCCGGTTCTGGTGTTGGCACAATTTGAGCCGCTAGGCTGGTGAACGATTTCTTCTGCACCTCCATGATCAATGTAGCCAATTAGTTTTTGTTTACCCTTTTTTTATTATCACTATTGTTTTATCTGCTTTTTCATATTATTATTTTTTATTCTTTATTTTTTATTTAATTTTCATTGGAAGGGTTTGATCGGGCGTGAGGTAAATTGGAGGTTCAGGCGGTGGACCAAGCAAAAATTGGGTGCTGACACCCAATCTAGCTTGTAGAGCAACTTGAGATGCCGGAAGGTATTTGGGACGATGCCACAGAAATGGTTGGAATTGAGGTGGAAAAGAGTCAAATCCGTTAAGTGGTCAAGCTTAGATGGGAGATACCCAACAATGTCAGTGTGGTTGAGATTGATGCCAGAGACTAATGGTTTACGATGTAAGTTGAGATTGATGTCAGAGGCCAARCTCGGGTGGGAGATACCCAACAGGGAGCCATCTGCACGCTCAGCAATGGAGATCGGAGATCCTCCTTCGTCGGTCTTCCAATCAAGGACTGAAGAGAACCTTTTCCCTTCTTTTATTTGTTTAAAGAGAAAGGGTAAAATGGTTCAAAAATTATCAATAAGGGTAATTTTAGCATTTTTTAATTATTTAATCTATATATGGTGTCACATGATGGTGTTGGTTGACAGTGGTTCGTTAATGACAGGTATCGGCTGGATTGTTGTGTTTCGAAAGTTCAGGTACTGGATTATCGCATTTTAAAGTTCAAAAACCAAATTATCACTCGAGCCAAAATACAGTATACTCATTAGGAATTTTCCCTTATTTTTATGACATGCTTGGAAAAGACATCATATTCTAGTCGTGAGAAATGGACTCCATAGAGTACAACAGGTAAACAGTTAGGCAACTTGGATACTCGGAGTACCCCTTATTTTGTAAGTTCCTGAAATCTAGTTGTTTGTTGTTTGTCGTTGATTGCTTTAGAGCTAGAATTGACCAATTATAAGAACATTGGGCTTATGGAACCCCTCTTAAGTGCCCTAGGACTCGTACTTTCTTGGGAACCTTTAGGGAGTTCAGGGTTTCAACAGAAAACATTTCCTCTCTATTATCTTCGAGGCCTAGCGAACACCAAAATTACTAATGCCTTTGCTTGATGTAGTGCACGCTAAAATCGGATAATATAAGATATCTATTGCAAAGACGGGTCCGATGTAGTAGGCACGTTAGGTAAGCACAATGAGTGAGTACGTAATAGCTGTGTGACACATGAAAGGTGCATTAAGTAGGACATGTGTCACACAGCTATTATATGCTCACTCATTGTGCTTACCTAACGTGCCCTACTACATCCGGACCCGCAAGACAAAGTCCAGGGAGAAAATGCCACTTACATAGTCGTGGCTTTTAAATTTTGGTTTGACAAATTTAATGGGAGAGAGGAAATTAGGGGAGGAAGGAAACGGAAGCATCTTGTTGCTTTTATTTTAGGGAAAATTCGCAACTAGTACCCTATACTTTGGGCCTAGTATTATTTTAGTCCCTGGACTTTAAAACGTGTCAATCCAGTATCTACCGGTTGTTAATCATTTCTTAAGTGGCATTTGGAAAKGACACAAATACCCTTCGAGTGTCATCTAATTTATCAACCATCCAACCGTTGACAAAAATTTAACAATTCCAAATTTTTGCTTCTTCTATTGAAGAAAGTTGGGATTACGTCTTAATGGACAACAAAGACGAAGGCTCCTGCTAAAGAAGCCTTCTTCTTTAAATCACTTAGTATCATTTAGGTCACTATGTGTGCACTCTACTCTTGTTAATGTGTATGTGTGAGAGGCTCAAAATGGCAAACTGAGCAAGACTGTTGTGCCAAAGAAGAACGCTCCTGCTAAAGAAAAGTATTAGTGAGGGGTAGTAGGCCCTCTACATCGAAGGACAAATCAGGGAAGAGACTGTGTTGTTAGGTGACCAAATTTCAATCACCACTTCTGAAACTATACATGATAGCCCTACTGGAACAGAGGCCAATGCAGTGAGAGTCTCTACCAGAAGACATATGCATGCTATGCAATGGATTGATGAGGAGCAACTAGGGGTGTCCATAAAAAACCAAAAAACTGAACCGAACCGAGAAAACTAAATCACAAAATGCGGTCAATCGAATCAATCTGTTTGGTTTTGTTCGGGATTTTTGAAAAACCGAAGGACTGGTTTGGTTTTTTATTAACCTACAAAAAACTGACGGTTAACCGAACCGACCGGTATATATATTTTTATGTATATTTATATATATTTTTAATATGTCACATATTTTCTATGTATTATATATAAATATATATTCATTATATATATAAATATATACTTATATTATATTTATAATGACCTATTTATAAATATATTATATATTTTTCAAATATTTATAATATATTATATATCATTTATTATTTATTATATAATATTATACATATATTTGCATAATTTATATTATAAATATAAAAAACCGAATAACCGAAGAACTGAAACTGGTGGACCGGTTAACCGGTGGTACCAATTCAGTTTCGGTTTAGAGAATTGGAAAAACCAGTACCACCGGTTCAGTTTACAAAAAGTGCCATGGTTCGGTTATCGAACCATGGACACCCCTAGGAGCAACTAGTAGAGGTCATGTCGTTCTCGAGCTATGAGGAGAGAGAGCTCCCAAGGCCCATCCCCCCCCGACCCCCTATAGAGCCATTGTGGTTCAATTCACGAGTACAGACAAAAGATGGGCTCTCATGACCCATGTATATATTCCAAAGTTATGTTGCTTTACTTTGAAATAAAATGATTATTCCCGAATTACTAATTACCATTATGAAAATATTTATTAATTATTATTTCGAATTAATAATACAAAGATAATTCATACAACATTAGAGAGTTTAGGATTCGTAGAGAGCTTAGGATGATAGTGCCACATCACCAGAAGTTATCGCAAACATGCGATAGACTTTTGGTTGAAGTTCATYGCATTATCCATGCATGCGATGTATTATCGTTATCGTTGACACTCCTCCTCAAGTGTAGCCGGAGGMGAAACGATGAGCTTGTTGCAAAGTAGCTCAAATTGAGGTTGTCCAAGAGGCTTTATGAGAATGTCTGTTAATTGGTCAGCTGAGGGATTGAACTGTACATCAATGAGTTTGGTTGCATCTTTTTCGTGAATAAAGTGAATGTCCAACTCAATGTGCTTAGAACGAGAGTGTAGTGCAGGATTAGTATCAAGGAATTTAGCTCCCGTATTGTCACACCATAGCAAAGGAGGTGCAAAGAGAGAGAMACCTAATTCTTGGAGAAGCATACGAAGTCATAGAACTTCAGCAGCCATAGAAGCCAAACCACGATATTCAGATTCAGTGCTAGACCGAGCCACAAACGATTGCTTTTTGGAACTTCAAGCAACTAGATTCAGTCTGAAGAACATGCAATAGCCACTTTGAACTCGGCTTGAGTCAAAAGCTCGGAAGTTCGAGCTTGGCTACCTTTGATTGTAGGTTTCTCAAGCAGTCGAGGTCTCCCTCAATTGCCGAGGTGCCAAATCGATGTCTCCCTCAACTGCTGAAGTGTCGAACTGAGATTTCCCTAGTAGTTGACAAGGTGCCGAGTTGAGGTCTCCCTCAATCGTCGAGGTGTTGAGTCAAGATCTCCCTTAGTGACCAAGGTGTCAAGCCAAGGTCTCCCTTAGTGGTCAAGGTGTCATCTAACTCGAGCTCGATTCGAATTAGATACTTGAGCTTTTCGACCTCAGCTCGGCTCAAACTTGACTACCTTTGATTGCAGGTCCCCTAGCAACCGAGATGCCGAGCTGAGGTTTCCCTCAATTGGAGAGAGAGTGGCATTCTTATAATTTATAAGGAGTGAGAGAGATGCTAGGAGAGAGAAAGAGAGAGATGGTAGGAGAGAGAGAGAGATGGCATTCTTGTAATTTGTAAGAGAGAGAGAGAGAGAGAGTTGGTAGGAGAGAGTGGCATTCTTGTAATTTGAAAGAAAAAAGGCAAGAGAGAGAGAGGGAAATTAACATGGAGAAAGGTGTTAAAGTTAAACAAGAGTGGAGAAGTTGCATATCATCCCGCAACTCCACTCGTGTTGCACGTCAGTTGGCTTCAAAACCAGTACATATCGGTTGATAAGATCGGAAATTAAACTATCGGTTAAGTATATTTTGGCATCGATGCTGCAGATACGGGTATACAGCAGATTTGTGGGTTGGAAGCACCGTTTCCTAAGAAAATGGTGTCTTTTTTTGTTTGAAAACATTACTGTCAGGTAGGACGTTTCCTGGAGCAACAATATTTTCTGTTTGGCACCAATGCTCCAGGAAACTTTTCAGCACTGGTACCTATTATCCAGTGCCACATCATGTCCTTATCACTGCCACCCCATATCCCTATTGGCAGCAACAAGCTGCAGCTTTAGGAAATGACAAATTCGGTGTTGCTCTAAGCCACACCTTCCCGATTTCCAAGGCATGTCTTAGAACACCGTCTTTTATGGAAAAACAGTTCCAAACAAACAGTCATTTCCTGGAGCACTGTTTTTTCAATGTGGCGCTGATGTGTCGTCGTTTTCTGGAGCAACAGCATCAAGCCAAACAGACGCTAAATAACAAATACACTTCAAACAAATTAAATGTCTAGATGCAGTGTGACGTTGACAAGGAAATAAACCAAAACACACCAAATACAACAATTTCATTAAAATATCTGCTAGAAAATTTCAAATCATAAAATTTAAACACATGAAAATTCAAATCACAGTACACTGAACAGTTTATACATTTTGAATGACCAAGTGATGCATGCCTGCAGGGGATACAGAATACAGAGACGCTACAAATACAGCAATTTCAACCACATCTCAAATCACAAAAAGCTCGTCTAAGCGCTTAAGGCTGAAAAGGATCAAGAATAAACCGAAGAAAACTAGAKCTTTATCATGCTGCTCTGTCATTTGGAAATCAGCAATTTCTTGCTGATATCGGATTTCAGTTTCCATCCAAACGAAAAAGCTCCATGGATCAAACCATCAATTTCCTCTTCCTTTTTCTCATACACATAGAATGCTGTAAAGGCAAAGGGTACTCCTGCATTTAACTTAGTTCATTAGTAACAAGCTCAAATAGACTTAAGCCTCAACACCAATGCATGAGGTGAGTCTCCACATAAATCTAGCAAGAAATAGTGGAATTCAGATATCACTATTTTCTTGGCAACGAACTTTCTTTTCCCTTCTGGGGGTGGGGAGAGTGGGTTGGGATCCTGTCCTGATTACTTTGCATGAATGCCACTGAATAGCTGAGGCATTACAAACATTTCCTTCTCATTCTCCCATCCTGATGCAAATATTCTTTCCATGTCCACAGCACATTGACTGGAATTGTTATTTGGATGCCTTTAAAGTAACAGGTGTAGATATTATGGCACTTGGAACTTGATCTCAAACTTATAATATGCTGATCATGCTCCAAGCTGAAATCGACAAAGTTGGCACTTTGATGCGGAACACCCAAAAAGCAGCTAATTAGGTGGATGAAATGCCTAAGCAAGCTGGAATCACACCACAAAGGCCTTGGCTTGTTTGAGATTTAGCTTAGGATTACCCATCAAAAATAGGCTAGACAGAACTTCAGAGAGTTTAAATAATCAATGAAAACAATTGAAAACAGGTTATGTAGGACACTTGCTCAACTTCAGTCATTTTTTCTATTAATCTTAATTTAGTGCCATGACTCGTGCCATTATTCTCATAGGTTATGTAGGACACTTGCTCAACTTCAAGTGGAAAGACACATGGAAAATCTGGTACAAACCTGTAATAAATATTCTCTGAAGTGAAGTGGTTCCAAGTAAGCTGAGAATCAATAGACAAACAATAACCTATTTATTTCAACAGTAAAGAAAGATCAGTATACAGCAAAAACAATCAATGAAAAGTGAAAACAAGAGAAAGTGTCTACACTAGATTAAACAAGACTAAATTAGTCTCTGTCAGTCTCATTTGGTTCCAAAGTCTGTTCAAATACAGCAATGACAATAAACAAGCCATCTTAGTATTGCAGCTCAGTGAGCACTATGCGGCCTTTAAATAGGTCCTTTCAATGGATACCAAATTACCTTCAATACATTGTTTTGCAGAAACAACATCCTGTGAAATATTAGCAACCAATATGATTACTCTCCAGTTACAACTTGAGAGACTTAAGATATACTCTTCTAACATTCTAAATTAACTAAGGTTTATTTCAGACAGATGCACTCTCTGCAGTGTATACATCTTAAATTCATTCCTTGTCTACATTGAGTTGTTTCTGTCTAGTTTAGCCAGTAGAAGAAAATATTAAAAAAARTTAAAAACCTTTTAACAATAAAAACATAAAAATCTGTAAGATACATATGAAATGAGAGAAGAGAGAGATGAAGGGTATAGACCTTGACGAACAGTTTCCAGTTCTTTCCCATGTAGAGAACTTTTAGAATGTTAATTGCAGAGTTCCATGTGGATGCAGCCAATAGAGCAACCTTCTGTGATGTCTCTTCAGAAAAGCAAAAATTGGATGCAGGGATTTTCTCAATTGTATAGCCTAATCTGAACCAATAGAATTCTTGTTCTTAGCAGAGAAATGGTGCTTATGGTGTTTCAATGAAGAAACCAAATACATATCTCAATGCCTCATTCATATGGGGCCATCTTATTGATTAAAGCTCTGAATCGATAACCAGTCTTGGATTGGCTGTATAGCTATAAAAATCCAACTGAATGATGCAAAGTGATTAACCATGGGGCTACACAACCAAACCAAGAATTAGGAAATGATTAGAGTTTAGATCAATAACTTGCTCTTTCTTGAACAATGACAATGAGTGGGCAAAAGGTCAGAGGCATATGGTCAACAGAGTTTTTCTGTTTTTGTTTTTAACATAGAGACTGAATATATAGAGTTTTTCCGTTCTTTCAACATAGAGAGTGAATATACATTTTTGCAGGTAGAAGGCCATGGACAAACAGGAAGACTGTGACTGCAAAGAGAAGCTTTGAGATGGCAGTTATGGCAGTGTATCCAGACGCAATGAAGTAATAGTAAAAAGCAATCATGACTAGCACTGTGGTTAGCGTCTGCTTTTTCTCTTTCCACAGGAGTGTGTTGGCAACTGAAAAATGTCATTAGCAATAGCAGCATTAATAAATTATGCAAAAAAGAGATATGTTCAGACTAGATTTACCAACTGAAATATAGAGCTCATCCCTGTAATAATGGGCCTTTTCTAATTTATCATCTATATATTTTCATAACATAATTTTTCACCAGTAGCTGATAAACATGTGTATCCAAAGCTGGTTATTGAAAACATTTCCAAGAACTGCAACTTTTAGCCTTAAAGGCTAGTGCCTCATGATTTACTGATTATGATCATTCAATCTGTATAATCTTGGCATCTAGCAGCCACAAAGTAGACGACTAATTAATGGTTCAGTTGGATCACAATTCCTACTGATGGACAGAAGTACCTTGGTTAGGGCAGAAATTTATGATTTAAAGGAACATACCCTTTCCACTTCCAAGATATATGAAAACCTTAGATGGGCCATCTCTTTTAGGTTGACACTCAGCTCTCAAGTGTGGATATGACTCAATCATCCTTTTCAGACCCTCCTGCAATATCAAGTACAATGATTTAAAATCACAGATGGAAACAAACATAAACATCTATGTTAACATCAAAAAATCATGTCACATGTGATGGGAACACCAACCAATCATTGTTTTCTAAGGAAAGGCCCTCTCTTGTATGAACAAAAGCATGAAGAGTGTAAATTCAATTCAACTGAATGGGAATTCATGAAATATACATTTTGGAAATAATAAAGGAGTCCAAAAGTGACTCTTAAACATGAACACAGTATGCAATGCATAACCGAGGTCTAGCTCAACTACATCAGATAACTGCCATCTGGGAGGTAAAGATTTTGTGTCCAGTGTGCAGTTGCATAGATTTTATTAACAATCCAAAGGAAGTGATTTTATTGGACAACTAGAATCATCTCACCACCCTGATTCTTGAACTGTAGAGCATCCAAGAGGTTCCTCTCAGTTGGATATCCACCCAATGGGAAGAAGAACCTACTCCTGCACAAACATCATTTTCTTTCTACTGTATTTACCCTTTAAATCACAATTTATCTCTATTCATGTTTATATCAGACTTCTACAATCATTAGTTAGAGAAACCAGAGCAACCTGAAGTGGGACAATAGGCGAATAGCCAAGTTGATCCTTGGCTTTTGAACAATTATAAGTCCTGCTGCATGAGAGGAGTCTGATTCTTGAAGGTGTTAGCTGTGGAACCCGCATGCCATATGGGGCTAAGATCCTATATGTCCACTCCACTATATATGCGATCGRCATCATAACAGAGGCAGGGATTTTGATTCTTGGCCTGCAAATCATGCAATGTTAAAACACAGAACACAGGACATTGATGCCACTTACATACTACTTCTGTTCTGCATGGTATACTTAATAATATTATACAAGGTTCAAAGTATGAATACAATATATCCCAATATCAGGTGTATTCTATCATATTTTGGAGTCACCACAATGGCATATAATGGGCGTTGGGGGATTTGAATGTTTTAAAACGTTAAAATATGATGTGCAGGACCCCTGTCAAAAAGTCAGATCAAAAAGTTTAAAAATAATAATAATAACAATAATAGTTTTTCTGAGCTGAAACTCTCAATGTGCAAAATTTGTGTATTGAGAGTATTGATACTCTGAACCATGATCTTATATAGACATGCCAAAATGTCTAGTATCTGAGATGCTGAATCTAACAATCCACAAACCAACATTAACATGTGTCAGTGTCCATTTTACATTAATAGGGTGTAAAATGGTTGAAGATAAAAAGAAACCAGTGAATTGCTAATGATGTGAAAATAAAATAAATGAATAAGTAATTGTCTGCAAAAGAATATATCAGCAACAGATGATATTGCTGAATGCAGTGTTTTAAAAGTGCAAGGGCCATTTTGCACCTGAGGTGCGAGGCACGCACCTTTTTTAAGCAAGGCCCAAAAATGCTAAAAATTCAAAAAAATAAAAATGCTAAATATTAAAAATATTAAATACATTATTAATTAAAATATAAACTTAAATTTTAAAATAAATTTTTTAAAAAAACTATTATCTCAAATTAAAATACATAAACATAACATGTAAAACATATTTAAAGTGAAAATTTAAAAATAAAATCAAGCATTACATATAAAACATATTCAAGCTTGTAAACTCTTAATCTCTCTATTTTTTCCCAAATGCATTACTTCAAATAGCTAATGTGATGTTAAACATTATGCATTCCTAATTCTACGAGCCACCTCGGTACCAAGCCCCTTGAGGTAAGTCACATATCAAGGTCTTAAATTCTTAATCACTATAAAAAACAAAAGGTTTTATAACTTAAGCGTCTTAAAAATATCTGAATGAACAACATTAACAAAAAAGGGGTTTTCAAAAAAAGATATTTCTAAAAGACACTTAAAGTTATAAAACCTTTTTTATAGGGAATTAGGGATTAAGACTTTAAGACCTTGATATGGACTTTTTTGGACTTGTCTCGAGGGGCTTGTGGTCAGGGGTCCAGGGGTGGAGCCCCTGGCCCAGCTTCTAAGCACAAAAAAAAAAAAATGCACAGATTTTCAAAAGGTGCATGCCTGGGCTGAAGTGCAAGGCGCACCAATTACACACCTTTTGAAAGTACTGTGCCTAGGACCTAGGCAAGGTGCATACCCTAAAATGTGCCCCGCCTGTACGCCTAGGTGTGCCTTTTAAATCACTGGCTCAATGAACTTCCACAAAGAACATTTTAAAACATGGATGTATTTTTTTTTTCTGATAAATGATTTAAAACATGGAAGTATGGCACAAGGCATTCCACCATCCTAAGGTTCGAGGCATAAACCAGAATGCAAGAGGCATAAGCCTCCTCAGCATGGATTTTGTAATTACTAATAATTAAAAAAAAAAAGCTAAAACAAATAAAAATTATAGTAACTATCCCATAAAAATAGGAAATTTTGTGAGAAATTAAAAACTTTCATATTTATAATTTCTAAAATGTAACCATCATATCTAAGTACAGAATCGAAGTATCATTGCATGAAGCATTATCATCCATCACTATAACACTCGCAAAGATACAAATCAAAATTCCAGAATTAACAATTTACAAGAATTGCACAACATTGACATAAACAAGTCACTCATATTTAAGTGGAATTAAAACATTAAAAGAAATCAAAGCTATAGTGTTCCCACTTCTATATATAACATACTGCAATAAACAAATTTGGAGGGATTTCATTTTCTGTATTGTGTTAAAATATAATGGGGAACACAATAAAATGGTTCATCCACTTTCATTTATAATTATAAAATACCAGCTTAAAAGGTAAGAACATATGAGGAATACGCCTCTACTGTTAATTTCCAGGCATTTTCATAGTGCTTTGCCCACAAGCATGCCTCCAGTGCCTTTTAAAACACTACCAACAAAAGCCATTAATTTGGTGAAGCTTGTCCCCAGATGGAAATGAAAAATGATGGACAAAAATTGAGATCACCTTTCATAGCCAAGACCTTCAAGAATCATTGACATGAACTCCCAAAACTTTATTGGCTCCATATTTGTTATAAAGTATGCCTGCAAAAACCAAGGGTCAAGTGACTGAATTTATCAATAGAACAATTTGGGATAGAACCATAAACCAATACATTAAGGTTCAAGATTGAGCTAGCTAGCACATTAACATGCTAGACTCTGCTGGATTTCATATGAGGCCAGCAATGCTGTACAGAGTAGGGTGTTGGGCAGTCAAGGAACAACATATCCAAAATATGAATGTAGCAGAAATGTGAATATTGAGATGGATGGGTGGAAAAACTAGAAAGGACAGGGTCAGAGATGACTCATTTGACTAAACGTAGCAGTAACTATCTCCAATAGGTGATAACTGATAAAATGAGGAAAATAGACTATGATGGTTTGGTAGCATGCAGAAAAGACCAGACTAAGATGGTAAGTAATCTACTAATTCCTTCTTTAAAGCCCTTTATTCATATCTGCAAGACACCAAATTTCCAGCTAGGAAGGTGGGGAACTCCATCATTCCTCTGAGAGTATCCCTTTTAGTGTGCGAGGCATGTTTGGTGAGAATTAACACATGGTATATTCTGCAAAAGAAGAAAAAGGGAAGAATGTGAATGTCTCCTTGTGTGCATTATTTTCATAAGGAATGGAGAATCGGCAGAAAACCTCCTCCATTGCCTCTAGCCAGACGTTTGTGGCACTACTTTTTAAACTTGATTGGTTATAGTTGGGCTGATCTGGGGCATATCCAAGGTTATATCAGTGAAATGCGCAAGGTTTAGGCAACAAAGTGAAAATATATTGGAGTACGGTTACACATGCAATCATGTGGGGTGTGTGGGAAGAGCAAAACAGAAGAATTTTTTATAATAAGGTTGGCTCTGATAAAGAGCTGGTAGCGCAGAACTTCCACTTGTGCAACTCATTCTGAGGCTTTTCATGGCATTTCTTTGGGAGACCTCCAAAGGAACCTTGTGGAGATACTTCAATCACCTCCGGCGTCCCAAACCTTGTTGCAGGCTTCTAACAGGATGGAAGAGGCACAGTTCAACTCTTGGGCAACCCTGGTGAGGCCAGCATTGGAGGTGTGATCTTGAGGAGGGATGGTAGCATGCTGGGCCTTTTACTGGACCAATTTGACTTGCTGACTCTACAAAAGTGGAAATTGTAGCTATGTGAACAGGGCTCCAGATTGCTAGACAGATGGACTTATCATCCTTATCTGTTGAAGGTGACTTGGCAAGCACAATTAACTGAGATGAGAACAGTGGTGCATGGAGGTTGGCTCATTTTTTAACCGAAGCCAGGGATAAAGCAACATCAATGCAAACAAGGCTAGGATTGAATACCAAGAAACTTAACCAAGATGGCTGATGAGTTGGCTAAGGCAGGTGTTCATAGGAAAAAAATGTAAGTGATAGCACTCTGCCTGTGTAAATATTTTTAGGGAGGGACCGTCTTTTTTGTTTGTACATCCCCTTAGGTAAAACTTGCCCTTTATTTATTATATATACATACGAAAGTTATCTTTCTCAAAAATAACAAGTGATCCATGACATTAAAAGGGCTAGAAGATCTAGGGGCAGACAAAATGGATATGGGTTGACATTGTAAGAAATGATTTAAGGGCTCATAATTTAACACTGGATATGGAACTGAACCAAATGGAATGGCAAAACAGGGTTCATATAGCCAACCCCATATAGCTGGGACAAGGATTAGATGATGATGATGATGACTCTGCCGACTTCATAAGAACATGTGAAGAATGAAGAATCTGTCATGCCGACCACAAGAATAGTTTACAGCCACCAGGTTATGAGAGTAGTACATGCATTGGGACTGCATCCACCATCGACACATTCCACCAAGGAGAGATGCTACAGTCCCAGAAGAAGGAAACATTAAATAATGGTGATAATGTATAAAAGCTCTCCAGTTAATACAAGCCAAATCCCCTTTGAAAATCTCAAAGCTATGGAATCGGATGAGACCAGTAATCCTGGCATACCAATGACAGAAACCAAGCAAAAATATAGCACTAGTCAAGTATTCATTAGCCAATTAACATTTCATGATCAGGTCAGGCCACCTGTAATTGCAAGTCTGTGACAGGCAAATCTTCTAGGGGAGTGCAAAAAAACAAATATTGATCCATGAGAGCTAACAGTTTCAGATTTGAGCCATTTGCAAAATCAGATCTATATACCCTTTATTTTTCTTTAGGCTGTGTTTGTTTCTCCACCAATAGAAAAAAAAAAAATCAGACTGACAAGGAAAACAAAGTATCCATTAAAAGAGGTGAAAAGATAGCTCAGATATTTCAGTATGAAAAATTTTTCTGTTCATTTTACGAAACTCGAGAATATTTTAAGGAAAAAAGAAAAGAGGCAATCATTGAGCCATCATGATTACTGATTAGGGTGGTTCATTGGATGAAAACTGTGGAGCTATTTGCTGACTTTTCTTCAATCGATATTATGAAGAACTTGAAGGAAGTGGCTTCTTCTGATTCATATCAGGTCAAGATGAGGCATTTATGGTCTCCACCAGTTAATGATTTTATTAAATTCAATTTGGATGGAAGTAATGCAGGCAATACAGGTCCTTCCGGTATTGGTGGGGTGTTTAGGAATAAGGAAAGCAAAGTTATTGACTTGGTCTCAGGACCAAATGGTGTAGGAGACTCATTAAGAGCTGAGATTCTGGCTGTGATGGAGGGAGTGCAAAAGGCAAAGGATATGAATGTAAAGCTGATTATAGAAGGTGACTTAAAGCTGGTAGAGGATTGGCTGCAAAAGGAGGGGAGTGGTTTCTGGAAGTTCAGTGGTAAAAAGAAGAAATACAAGTGACTAACTCAAGATATGGAGGTGAAGATTTGTTGGGTTAAAAGAACTGCTAATGCTTTTGCCTATGTTCTAGCAAAACAAGGGGTGGAAAGGAATCAAATGTATTGGGCACAATTGTAATCTGTATTTTATTTTTTCGGTGAGGAGAGTTAAGAAGTTTACCTCTCCTCTCCTGTGTAATTTTCTTATAAATTAACTAATAAAATTCTGTTGTTGATCAAAAGAAAAAAAAAAAAAAGAAGCCTTAATGATAGATTGTTAATGAGGGATTTGATTGGTGGTTAGATGATAATTGTGTGGAAAGTTTTTAAGCTATATGGGTTGAGACAGAAAATGATATTGAATTACTGATCAAAAAAGGAAAAAGAACAGCATTGATTGCATACTATGGAAGTGCCATGAATTGGCAAAAGCAATGGCAGAAACTACTAAATCATAAAATTTACCATAATCACTCAATACCAAATACTAATTAGAACGGAAACTGCTGACAATTAAAATCAAAGTCTCTCATTTTGCTTCAAATATAATATTCCTATTTCTATCCTGATTCCATTTCTTTATTGTGGATCCTAATAAGCCTAGACATAAGACACTCCTTTTTCTTTTTTTTTTTCAGCTATTAAGTTAAAGGATTGGGACTAAAATTACATCCCTATGCCCCAGAATACACAACAGTAAGAAACATTGAAAATGGTCAAATGGATCTCTTTATCATAAGTTAAAGTTTTTGATTATTTCTCTTTTGATATTCGGAACTTAAAAAGAATCCAACACATGATGCATTATACAGCTGATGCATATAACAGCACTAACATTTGTGGCTGATGCTTTGTCACCTGCTACATTGAACCTCTCTTATCTAATGAATTTTCTTTTTTGTTTATCTTCAAAAAAAAAAAAAGATGATGCATTATACAGCTGATGTGTATAATAGCACTAACATTTTGAACCAAATCTAGAACATTGTATATATAGCAGAAACATAGACTTGTCCATTAACAAGTAAAAAAAAAAGTGCATTTGTTGTGCAACCAGAAAATTCTTTAGCAAACATTTGTGCAGAAGTCTGTGGTGGCACAGTGGCAGTATTTCTAATTATATTTACCTTGGGTTTTCTTCATTGTTTTTTCTTTTGAAAGATGAATATGTTCCATTAAAAGAAAGAAGAGGGACCTTCAAAGAACTATATAAAAAGAAGGGCTATAAAAAAGCAACTCAACAGCTAAAAGCTATTTGCACACATTAAGATGATTAAAAAAAATTGCAACTGGTAGTCAAGCTTGATTGAGTTGTTGCTCCCTTTCTGTTCACATTAAACCATCCCTATCACCCTCCTTTGTTTTTCTGGTGCATTTTCTTAATGTTTTAGCTAAAGATTTCTACTATGTGCAATCTGGTGCCTCACCCTAATGATAATAGTAATAGTAATTTATAATAAAGAAAGCAAACTATGGGAGATATCTGAGGTGGACCAAGGAATGGTAGGTTCCTTTCATTCAAATACTATGCAGCACCATCTGAGAGCATGTCAACAGACTCTCCAATAGGAACCATATATTTTCTCTTTCCATGAAAATGGAGTAGGGTATGACATTTGCAGCTACTCAAAGCATGCCAAAATACCACATGGAACCAAAAAGTAGAACTTAAAAGTAGCATACATAGTACCTGCCCTGCAGCTCTCTTTGCACCTTCTCCTTCTGAAGCTAGGGTTTGCTCAGCACATATATGCGCATGAGCCACATTTTCAACATATGTGAAATCATACAAGTTATTTCCATCACCAATGATGAACTGATAAAAAAAATAAAACAGAAAAATATCATCAGGCTGTATTTACATAAACAAAGGATGCATCAGCATGCCATCAAAAAGCATCATAAAGAAAACAGTTCTGTGTTCTCATCTTTTGTTACTTTTATTTCTCTATTTTATTAGATTTTTTTTATAATTGCCGTTATTTAGATCAAAAGAAATAATAGGCATGAGTATGAAACAGTCCAAAAAAATTTTTTTTGAATGGTACATGGGTAGTTGGGAACCAAGAGATGGTAACTTAGTTCTATGTCCTTCCAAATCTATCGAAAGAATTCTATGTCCTTCCAAGTACCACTAGGTACCTCTGTCAGGTAGCAGATCTCTTTTTTTGAAAGTAAAAAAGAAAATTTCATTAAAAGGAAGAAAAAAAATACAATCTGGATAGGTGATAAGGTAGCACCTAAACCACCGAGATTACAACCGAATCGGAGCAACAAAATTTCCAGATTACAAATTGAAATACACCACCTCCCGAGGACAAATACTAAAAACTTCTCTCAGCATTAAGAGCATTGGCAGCAAAAAACCAACAGCAATGAAATTGCCCACAGCCACCCCCAACTTCTACCAACTCCAAGGACCTTCACCCAAGATAGCCACTCCGATCCTTCCTCCCCTCCCCTAAACTACTTAAACTTCCAAAGCCCCTTCACTCTTCTTCAATCCATCCGTCTTCCTTTCCCTCCCCTTCATCCCAAATCTCACCTCCCTCTCCCACTATTTTCTTTCTAAATTCCTCTTTTCTTCTTTTTTTTTTTCAAACTGTTCTATTGCCTTTCTGACCACACTCTCCCCTCCCAAAAAGAACAAACCAAGAGATTTGCCCACTTTCACCTGTCTCTCCACTGTCTTCTTGATTTCCACCCTCCTCTCACCTGATTTTCCTTTTTCTAGAGTCTTCCCCCCTTCCAGACCCACTACCACATCATCCCCTGCCTTTGGCAAAAAATTCTCACTCTCATCTCCAGCCTACAAAGGTTGTTTTTCTTCTTGGGGGTTCTCGACACAAGAACTTTTCACTTTTACTTCTTTTATAAATTCTTTTGTATTTGTTAGTCGGACCTGCTCCAACCAGACCTTTCAGTCTTGAGAAAACCCTTGTGACATGAACCATGCTAGATTTACTCGAAGCACTGGGTTTTCTTGGAATCTCAAAAACATCACCCTTAACAGCCCATCAGCCCTATCACTCCCTTTCCTTCTACGGCCCAAATCAACGCCTAATCTTAAGATTGACAGAATAAATTTAGGAGGTGAGATTCCAACACGTGCATATTATATGCAAAGTTTGTTGTTAGCTCAATGACATGGGAGATCTAGGGATGGAGTTGAAGGCAGCACAACGAGTAAAAATTTTGGAAGTTGAAAATTTTGTAAACTGCTCCTAGGTTTTTTCTTCCAATAAGTTAAATATTAGGGTAAAAGACTTAAACCTCTCTTGATGTTCCTCCTAAATACTGAAACATCCCTTCTCTTTTCAAATTGGACTGCTACCTTCCCTTTTGGATGATGACATAGGACAAAAATGCCCCCTCTGTTATCAATCTGTTCAAATCCGTTTACATGTAGCATCATATGCAAATCAATTTTTTTAAAAACCGAAGTTTTCCTTTTATGATCCTTTGTCTTTGGTACCTTGTTTTTATTTCGCTAAGGAAGTAACTTCATTTAAAGAAGCAAGATAAGAAAGAGTAGTGAAACATGCCAAAACTTTTGCTCTGTCAATCTCCATGTGAGCATGTTCTAACCATTAATTCATTGACACCAAAATTCCCACTAACAGCAAAGGATAAAAATAACTTTTTTTGAAATTCTTTCTCTGCCTTTTATTTCCTTCCCCTGTCTTTTTCTCTCTCATTTGTCTATCTTGTTATAGAATTGTAGTTTGAAAACTGACTGTTGTATAACTTCTCCAAACAAGCAGCACTACCACAATGGAGCTACTCTTTATACAAAGACTATTGATCAAAATCTTTTCTGAACTCCCAGTGAAGTATCATCTTTAGATTCAAAATTGTATGAAAACTTTGTGTACTTTGATTTCAGGTTCTTTTTATCAAACAGCACTAGCTGCACTACTGTTCACAAAATGTCCGGTCTGCATAGGTGAGAAAAGACTCAAATTGGCAGTTGACTGACATGGGAGGTCTTACTCCTTTTTGAAAAATGAAGGAAGGTTTTAGTATTTATTAGAAACATTAAGGGAGGTTTAAGTCCTTTACCCTAAATATTACTATTTTTCCAACAATAAGTTTTTAATCTCTCCTAATCAAAATACAAATAATCATTAATGCTAAGGTATTATTAGGCATGAATAACATTTAAATCACTAATAATTACTTCAATTTTCAAGAAAATAAATGGCATAAAATAGATTTATTATTTAAGGTTTTCTAAGGAAGTCCTTGCAAATGCTTATAATGTAAATAGGTTTTCTAACATTTAAATCACTAAATAGGTATGATTCAGACTATTCCTTGTGTTACTCTCTAAACCATGCATAGAAACACTAGTGTGAATCATGAACAGTATCACTTTCTAGTTCTTTTCACTAGTATCATTTTTCTAGTTCTACTTATTACACTCCAAAACAGTAGAACTAGTATGAATTATGAATATATCAACACAAACCTATGGATGGTATGGATGGTAGTGCATTAAGGCCAAGCAAGGTTCAAAGTATCGATACAATATGCATTTCGACCATATCGTATCGGTACTTAGAAACAGCTGAAACACCTTTTTTTTTAGTTTTTTTTTTCAAAGTTTGGTTTTTTGGGAAGCTTAAAATGTGTTTTTTATGATTAAAAAAAGTTGGGGAGGCATTTTGGACTGTATCTTTTTCAAAAGATACGATACGATACGCCCGATACGGGGCGTATCGTATCGATACTTTAAACCATGAGACCAAGTATAGTAACCTGATTAAGACACCTGTGTGAGTGAATGACAGGGAGCTGCTGAGGACCCAAATTTTAAGCCTCAAAAGTGGCCTGGAACTAAGGAGAGATTAACCAAAATATAGCAAGAGGAAAAGCATGGAGAAAGAGAATCAATAATTATCCTTCTTCACTGTTTTCAACACAAATTCTATTTAAGATTTTCTGTCCTAAATCAAACAGAAAACAGAGAAATAGCAGTTCTAGAAGAGCAGATAGAGTTACTGCATACTTGAAAAACAAAGAGAATATATAACCTCAGGAAAAGTAAAGGAGCCGGTCTGCAGTAGGCAACCTTTGGTTCCTTTATTATATTCTTTTTATATTTCTCGCTCCCACCCTTTATTATATTCTTTTTTTTTTTTGAGAGAGAGAGAGAGAGAGAGAGAGAGTAACTTCTCTGTTTTCTTGTTTTGGTTTTACTTTTGTGCAGTTAATTCTGGGTTTTCCATGTAATTTATCTCTGCAATATCACAGCCACTTTGAAAATATGAAGATCTTACTCCTATTTTTTAATACATTTCAATTTGTTTTTGTCATCTACAGGTCTGCTAGATTAATACCAACTCCAAATCACCAACAATATTCCTTGTCTGTTTCACATCCCTGGTACTATCACAGTCCTACAAATCTGTAATTCAATCCAGATATTCCCAAACAAAACTGACCCATCTGAATAGAAAAAACAAACAGAGATAGAAATAAAAAAAAAAACAAAGAAACAGATTAACATATCTGAATAAAACAAAACTTATGGCGACCTGAAAAAGTAAAAGAAAAGAAAGGAAAAGAAAAGGAAAGGAAAGGAAAAGAAGAGGAGAACAGTATAGAGAAGGAGATAAGGAGAGAAAGAAAGAAGGGAGAACTACCAAGAGAAGTCTAGTTACCTCTCTTGACAATCAACCCAGGATAAATTCTCATTCATTAAGAGGAAAATTACAACTATGCCCCCCCATTACATATGTTAAACATAAGAGAGAAATATAACAGGAAAAGACATATTTGCCCCGGTTAACTAACTTGAACACTCCCCCTCAAGCTGGAGCATATGTGCAATAGAGTTCTAGCCTGTTACAAATATAGTCCATCCTTGACCGACCCAAACAATACATGTGCAAACTCTTTCAAGTTTCAACCTGGCTGGTCCAACTGCTGACCCACCACCCAAAGGGAAAAGACAGGTCAAACTCCAGGTAGGTTTTTAAAACACTGGGAAATATACAGCTGACCTCTTGTAGATTATAATTACAATCCATATGATTCTTTTATAGTTAACAGAACCACAATCTTTATGATTCAAGCTCCAGCTTTCCTCATTTTCATCTGATATTGTATCTTGATGAATTAATTCCCAACAACTTACTTTTGGGGTGGGAGACAAGACAAAAACGCCAAGCAATAATTAAACCAAACTATCAATGACATGGAAATAGACGTAATAGGAAATATTGAAATAAATAAATAAAGTCCAACCTTAGATTTTCCAGCCCTTGCAGCCGAAACTAATGATGGAACCAAAAGCTTGTCACCAGGACCAAAAATGCTACTGGGACGTATGCAGCATGTCAAAAGCCCATTTGTACCATTTGACTTGATGACCAGTTCCTCTCCTTTAGCTTTAGTTGCTGAATAAAAATCATTGTGCTGAAAATTTAACAAATAAGTTCCAAACTTAGAAGAGAAAAGAAATGTCAGTATTTGAGGCAAATATAGCACACATTAAAGAGAAGCTATCAATATTTCTCTCTAGACAAATGACTAGGAGAAAAGGACATATGAACACAGACATAAACACATGTATATACTATGTGTGTATATATAAATGCATACTATATTTCTGTTCAGCTAGAAGAATAAGATTACAATTTTTTTCTTTTCCTTCTCACTCTTCTTTTTTTATTTATTTTTTGTGTATGTCTGTGTAAAATAGAGGGAGGGAGAGAGAGAGAGAGAGAGAGAGAAATCATGAGATGAGAACAGGTTGGGAAAACTTTGTTATATGGCAAGGACACAGCTGGATATGGTATTGAATACGAAATTTACACTAAAAGTTGAAGCATCTAACATGATACAATATTAGTAATCAGGTATTTAGGTATCATAGGAGGGGAATAGAATCCTAGTTTATAACATAAATAAGGCATGTAGCACACCATCATAAGTAATCAAAATCCACCATCTTATGAGTTCTATGAAGAAGATGTTTGCAGCAATATCCAACAACCGAGATGGTCCTAAATATCCAATCTATTACAATATCACATTATTGATAACTGTCAAGAAAAATATGCCAGCATTTCTGTGGGTTCAAGTTGTTGTATCCACATGAGATCTTTCCAAAGCTAGACCTATTAAATGCTACGTCAATGACACCATGCGTATGGAGCATGCAAGGGAAGCTTTTCTATCCTTATTCATATGAACATTAGAAAAATTTTAAACCAGAAAAGAAAACCACATGCTTTCGGTATAAGGTCAAATACTGCTGCTTCCTTTGAGAGGAATGAAGGGCAGATGTAAAGCTTATCTAGATAATGTTAAGAGGAATAAAAATTATAGAGTTGAGACCTTAGGTGGATATGGCATTGATTCATCTCCATTAAATATTCCATGAACTCCATCAAAGACCACACTAGAAGAACTTGTATAGATAAGTCTCTTTACTTTGCACTCAACACAAGCATCGATAACATTTTTAGTTCCTGTAAAATAGAAAATTAAGCATAAAACAAGCATCAAATAGTCAAAGGAACTCCACTACTTGATCTTAGAAAGTCCCACACAACCACAATGGTTTACCTTCAACATTGACCGAATGCTGAAGCTGATAATTATTGATGGATGAATCTGGGGCAGCCATGTGAAAGATAACCTCAGCCCCTTGGCATGCTGCAAAAGGGAAGACAAAATTTGTTTTGAGAAATCACAAGATAAGTAATAACGGGTGTGAACAAAACTTCAGAAGATGTAAAGATCAAAAATTCCCATCTACAAGATCATGCCAATGGAGACCATTAAACCAAAATTATAACCGAGTTGGGAATAAGAGAATAAATATGACCCTTGATCACTTGGGACTTGTTGCGAAGATCGGCAGACACATATTTGGCACGCCCCGATTGAAGAGCTTCCCCAAGGATTCCCTCCTCCTCTTCAGGTTCAAGCTTGATAGATGGGGCCAAGTCAGCAATGCAAACTGACCATTTTCTAGATCGGATCAGCATTTCCACTAAATGCCGTGCTGCAAATCCCCTTCCTCCTGTGACAACACAACACTTCTCTTCCCCTGCCATTTTTTCCTACGTCCTGAACACCATACCAAACCAAAAATCGGTTCTTGAAATTCCAAGAGAAGCTAAACTATAATTTCAATTTGCGATAATAGTCAGAAAAAAACATCTGAACATCGAAAGTGGCATATATGTAGTGTACTTCCTCTGTACCGAGCAAGGCAGAAGAAATCATTTTTTTTTCATAGAACAACTTTAGAATCTAAAGCTTGTCAGATTTCCAAGGCCTCTTTGATCTAAAGCATTGAACAAGAACTAATAGCCATTTGATACAAAGTAGAAACTTATTATACTGCAACCTCAAACGATGCATTGCTGATCTTTTCAGAAAGAATGTTCTTTCAATGTAACTACACAAACAAAATAAAATAAACAAGACACACTCTAATACCGATACAGAAACTTGATTCTTGCACTATAAGAGTCCCGCCTATCTATCAAATCTAAATGCAAGAGAAGGAGAGAAAAGAAAACTTGGGAAGGTATTTGGAAGCGATTCAATGCACGATAATAGATTTTATGCGGACCTAGCTCAGGAAATGTAGAATACAGAGAGAGAGAGAGAAAACAGAAACTGACCTACAATCTAGCAATTGTTGACTGTAACTAAAGTGTCAAGTCTCCTAACCCTCTTCTTCTGATTCTGAAAGATGGTCTTCTTTTCGTTTATCAACAGTCTATTATTTTCTTTGGTGGCATTTCCCTGGTGCCGGTTACCTATCGCTTGTAGGTCTGTAAATGGGTCGGGTCTGCTTCGGGACAGGCGAAACCGTCTATTCCGGTCCCGACCCAGAGGCCAGAGCCAGACCCTTCGGTTCTATATTTCTATATTCTATCTAAAATATTTTTGGAAAATTTCTTAAATTATCGTTTTAGTTAATTGACTAATTATATATTCCTACTGTTTAACACTATTGTCTTGTGCTATCCTTATTGGCAATTACCTAAAACCTTGTCATTAATGCTTATCATTAATGTTCCGTCATAAATTATTCATATGTAATATTACATGACTTATAATTTTTAAAAATCTTTAACTTACCCTTTTATAATCAAAAATGTCATTTTCGTTTGGGCAAAACGATTTTACCATAAAATATTGTTTTATGGTCGAACTAGTCACTGATCTTAACACCAGAGGGAGCGAGTTGATGTTAGTAATCTCCAGATCGGGTACCGGACCTGGGTGAGAGGGGCAAATTCATCCAGTTGATACGCTTTCATTTAACATCTCATTTTTATGTTGACTCTATGGAAGAGCAAAGACACTACGGGTTGAATCCAAATCATAGTGAACTTCATTAAAATTCAGAAATAACTTCGTCAAATAAGGAACAATTCTACAATAAATTTCAGGTCCGGACAAATGCAACCTCGGCAAAATCTTTGAACTTGAAATGATTGTTAATGTTAACACCACCCTTTGAATGGAGGGGGAAAAGCTTCAGCCTTTGCATCACAAAGGTAGTGAATGAGTACATCAAATTTCTCTTAGTCATTCAAAAGCATTTGGCGCTTAAAGTCTAGATTAACCGATACGATTCCAGCCACATGAGAAACATCTAACAAGAACCCATCTAGATTAACCTTTACAATTTCCCGAAAAAAAGTTCCTCGAAATAGTCTAAATTAATCAAAAGTTTTTTCCCTTTTCATTTTTCTTTTCTAATTTTTGAGGAAACTTTGCAATAGTTCATAAATTTCTTTACAATCTAAAAGAAAAAAAAAAAAAAATAGAACATTCAGAGTGATGTGGGCTACCCAGGCCTAGCCCATTAACGCTTGACAGCACCAACCACACCAGGGGGGAAGCCTTGCTGTGTTCGTACAGAGCCAACCGCAGAGTAATTAGGCATACTCGCAAGGACCTATCGCTTGACTTCGTACGGCCCTCATCTGGAGCATTCATCTCCACCTGCCTCCACCTATCGCTTTACTTCCAGTGCCTTGATTTTACATCGTTGCACCTACCTCACTTCATTAGCATTTACTCCTAGGGACCCAATGCATCCAAGGACTACCATCAAGGCCTCGTCTGCACCTCCCCCCACCTTACACCTCATACTAACTTGAGTGTCGGAGCTTCCGCCTCGGGTCTCCACTCGAGGCCTCTGACACCTCTTGTTTTGTAGTACCTCGGATCTCTAGGAACCTTGTTACCAAGCATACGACCCATAGTTCTCGGCTTCTATCATAGTCAGAAGGGAGCATCTCACCTTGGCCTGCAGTCCTTGGCCTCGACTTACCCTCTTCAGAGTCTTCGGAACTTGGGAGTGAATTTACCTCGTTGCCCTCGGCTAATCCAAGCACCAACAATTGGTGTCGTCCGTGGGAACGTTGCTAAGACGATTCCTTAAAACTCACGAGAAGAAAAGTCTCTAAGCCCACCTAAGTTCGAAAGTCATGGTATGAAGAACCAAGAATAACCAGAACCTGGTCACGTACGAGCAATTTTAAGATGTCATTGATCGTTTGGACAGCCTCACTCAGCGCATGGAAGAAGTCTACCCCCGAGCAGGAGGTCCCTCTCGAGGCGATTGCCCCACTGAGGTTCCAGAGGACYAGGGCTGACGCGAGCATGTCGAGCCCCCAACCCTCGGCCAGGGTGACAATCAGCTGGCTGAGCAATCGGAGTCGGGCAATAACCGACACCCCAGTTCACCTCGGAGGAATACCTGACCAACCAGCTAAAGGGAAGAAGTGCCTGCTCGATCCGAAGACAGTCACCAGCCTTCAGAGCAGCACCACTGCCGCCGAAGGGAGGTTCCCATGAACGATGGCGGACACCTCAGCCACCTCGGAGTTCACTCCTAGGGCGAGAGCCGATATCGCACCACTCCACCTCCAGTCTCGGATCTCCAGGACATTCTGAACGATCATCACGCCCGTAGGGGAGTGCACGATGCGGTCTCAAAGTACTCAAGAATCCGAGCTGATACCCATCGAGTCCACGAAGACAAAAGAGGGGCCCACACCCCTACCGATCTGGGGCTAGCCGAATTGTGCATCAAACTTGGGGCCGTCAGAGACAAGCTCCGCCAAGTCAAGGAGAGCCGAGCTGACACCTCCGCTAGCCATGGCAATTCCACCAGCCACATGGACGCGTTCACCCCGGAAATCATTTCGGAGCCTCTCCACCCACACTTCAAGGCTCCTACTTTGGAAATGTACGACGGCTCCTCGGACCTTGACGACCACCTGGAAAGTTTCAGAGCACTCATGATACTCTACAGGTATTCTGACACCTTGACGTGCCGAACTTTCCAAGCCACCTTCAAGGGGGCAGCACACCACTAGTTCTCCAGCCTCCCCCCCGAGGTTAATCAGTTCATGGGAGCAGTTTGCCAACATGTTCCTTGCCCACCTCATCAATAGTAGGTGGTGCTAGAAGAACGTCATCTCGCTCATGTCCATCAAGCAGAAACCGGACGAAAGCTTGCGATCCTACATCGATTGCTTTAAAAAAGAAGAGCTCAAGGTCAGGGACCTCGACCCCATGGTCTCAATGCATGTTGCCATCAACGAACTCCTAGCTGGCTCCGTCCTCAAGTGCTTGGTCGTCAAGAYMYCRYYRAAGACGAAGCTAAAATTCCTCAAAAAGGCCCAAAAGTACATTACGGCCGAAGAGGCTTCGGCCGGGGACCACCAGGAGAAGGAGACCGAACGCAACGGTGGGCCCTCGAGAAAGAAAAGAAAGAATGAAGATCGTTGCGGTGATGGCAGCAAAGATAATAGGAAGTCGTTGGCCCTGACCATGGCTTACAACCAATATACGCCACTCAACTTCTCCTAAACCCAAATCCTGATGCAAATAGGCGAGGAGAAGTTCGTGAAGTGGCCAGAGAAGATGAAGAGGAAGCCCAAGAGGGGGAACCCCAAAATGTACTGCAAGTTTCACCGCGACGTTGGCCACAACACCGAGGACTTCTATGAGTTGAAGAATGAAAGAGAGTCCCTCATTCGCCGTAGGCACTTGAAGCAGCTCGTCAGGGGTGAAGCCGGCGCTTCATCCTCCTAGCAGCAACAACAACACCAACAGGTCGCCAAAGTCATCGACGCCATCATCGGGGGCTCGGCCTTAAGTGGAGCATTGGCCTCAGCCCACAAGGCCTACGCCAGACAGTTGAGCATTTGAGGGTCAACCCCCAAGACGCCAAAGTAGCACAAGGACCTTAATGGGATTACAGTCCCCCATGATGACGCGTTGGTGATTTCGGTCGTAGTAACTAACTTCCTAGTCAAGAGGATTCTCGTCGATAGTGGCTCCTCGGTAGACATCCTCTTCTATGAAGCCTATGAAAAGATGAAGATAGCGCCAGAGCATCTTCATGTTACCGACGTCCCACTGGCCGGCTTCTCCGACAATGTCGTTAGGCCAAAAGGAAAGATCACCCTACCAATCATGGTAGGAACCGAGCCTCGGTTGGTGACGAGGATGACGGAGTTCCTTGTCGGGAGGATAGGCTCCCCCTACAACGTAATCATGGGGAGACTGACCCTTCATGCGCTGCGAGCCGCCATGTCCTCCTACCACCTCGCCCTCAAATTCCCAACCGTGGCATTAGAGTTGTTCAGGGGATCAACATATCGCCCGTCAATGCTATGTGGCGGCGCTGAAGGGCAAGAACAAAGAAGCATTGCCACTTGAGGGCCTTGACCTCAAGGAGGAGCCAGCCAACCGAGGACCTCATGTCGATTCCCTTGGACGAGGATAAGCCCAAGAAGTTAGTCCGTGTCGGGTCCAACCTTCCCCTAGAGAGCCTATTTGAACTGGTAAGTTTCCTCAAAACTAATGCCGACGTCTTCACTTGGTTCGCCGCTGACATGCCCGRAATTGACTATTCGGTCATTACTCAAAGGTTAAGCGTGGACCCAAACTCTAGGCCGGTCCGAGAGGTTAGTGTGCCCGGGATGCATCGTCAAACACCCAAGACATCATCTTAATAATTTATATTTTTCCAATCCTCTAAACTAAATAAAGAACGTAGTTTAGTGCTGAGGAAGGGGTTGAATCCTCAGGGAAGCAAGGTTAACAATTATTATTTTGTTCTGGACAAATAAGAAAAAGAAAACAGATTTGGGATTTGTAGAAAATAAGAAAATAAAATTTATTAAAGCTGAAATTAAATATTCATAATTGAAAAAGACAAGAAATAAAATTCATAAATTAAATAAAACATAAATTAACAAGAAAATAAATAAAAAAATGTTGAAATTTGGATCCAATGGCGATAGCTTTCTAAGAAGACAAATTGCAAGTTGTTCCTCCTCTATTCAGCCCTCGAACCCCTCGAGAGACCTTAGCCTTGAACTAGGCAAATTCAGATATGCAAAAGACAAAGAAAAACAAAAATTAAATCAAACCAAAATCAAAAGTTGCAGAAATTAAATTGCTAAAAAAACTGAATAACAAAAAGAAAGAAAATAAAACAAAATAAAAATGGTGGATCAGCTCCATTGGCGGCAGTTGCAGGTTGGACGAATTGCTTGCAGGAACCCCTCCTGACAAGAACTAGGCATCATCCT